ACCTTTAACAAGTCATATGTCAAAGCTGATTGCAACCAAGTCCTTTTAACTGTCCTCACGAACTCAGATTAGGCATCAGGGCACTGACGTAAAACATAAAACTTATTAACATCATTAAAACCTTTTCTTTTCTCGAAGATTTGGGTCCAGTCTGTTAGTTTGGCGACTTTTGGGATAAGAAAGAACAGGTAGAATCTGAGCTTTCCGAATTTGGTCAATTTAGATCAGTTCACCAGTTTGATTTGGCATAAGGACAAAAATATCATGGGAAGACGTCTTGCAAAGAATCATGACAACCTGTCTATTACTTGGACCGATTCCCAGTATCCATAATTGCTCAGTGCCCCAGGGTGTGAGCAGTCCTGGGTCCTAATTTGCGGTGGTGAAAAAATCCCTTCTATTTGGATACTTCTAACACAATATTGAATTGGACCTGCGGTATTACCTTATGAATACTATCTCAGTTTTCATACTAGACACGGTCCAATTTGTTTGCTGTAATGGAGGAGTAGAGGCTAAAAAGTACACAGACGGACGGATACATAACAGAACAATTACATTGGTGAGAACTATAACCCGTTAAACGGTGTCAAGAAGTAATCATAGTCATTTCGAGGAGCAGTGATGCGTATGGATAATTGGTCGGTACAGTAGTAGTCTTGCGGCCTCACCTACTTAATTCAATGGATGGCAGAAACACCAAAACTTAAGCGAGCGGGTGAATTAAAAAAAAAAGGTAAAAGTCCAGCCTCTACCTTAGGAATAGAAGGCTGGCATTGAGACTATGCGGTTGTTTATAACTACTTTAACAACATGCCGTGGCATGCTGGCCTTTTGCAACATTTATGAGTCTGTACTCCCTACTGTACAATGAAACATGTTCAGACTATTTGTTATCAGCTGAAACATGGTGCTGTCATCCATTATATCAGAACAAATAGTTCAAGTACAGTTATAATGCCGGTTTAGGTACACAATCATTGAACACCAAGGGACATACAACAAGTGGTCAAAACTACATTAAATTCCTGAAAGTAGAGACAGCAGAGAAATACTAAGTGGTAAAATTAAACATGGTGGCATCAGGAACTTTTCTTTTTAAGTAGGTCATTTTGTTGCTCACGCCGCGCTCTCTCTGCGACCTGAGATTAGCCAGAGCGGAGAGAGATCGCCGACGTCACCATGTTTGAAAAATGAATTAATGTTTAGACCATTGTGCGCTCTTATGGCGCTTCCTCTACTCTCTGTACGCTTTCATTGCTCTTTCTCTGCGTTTTTTGTTGGATCGCCGTCCTCGGCGAGCTCACGGCGACGATACGAGCCGGTTGAAAACAGTCACCGCGGTGTCGTCTCACATGGCCCTCTCATTGCGCTCCCTTTGCCCTCCCATGACGACCTTGGCCAATCTTCTGCGCTCCGGCCAATGTCAGGTCGCAGACAAAGAGCGCTGTGAGAGTGCCGCCCATATTGAATGGGACTTAGGCTAGTCATTTATGTACAAGACTTTGGGGAGTCCATTCATTTTTGCACTTGCAAAGGGACTGACGATAATTAATATGGATATTTTGGCGTAGTTTTATTCTAGCACCTTCATGGCATTGCAAGTAGGCGTTTTCAGTGTGTAGCTAACTACTGCCCCACAGACTTTTTGTAAGAAGAGTCATTGGACACAGCAGAGAAATACTGAGTAGTAAAAGTAAACATGGTGGCATCAGGTACTTTTTTTTAAAGTAGGTCATTTTGTTTGTTGCTCACGCCGCGCTCTCTCTGCGACCTGAGATTAGCCAGAGCGGGGAGAGATCGCCAACGTCGCCATGTTTAAACAAATAACCTTACACTGTAACGAAAATAATTTCATTTTACATATTGCTACCTCGAGCTCTGTATTTGGGAACACCCATCTGGTGTTATGCTATTTGTTTCTTATTTTGGTCGCTGGTGAGACTAAAATTAGCAATTTGCTAGAGTTATCCACCCGGTGTTTTGTACTCTGTATGATGTTTGATAAAACACAAAAGGAGGAAAGGTATCAAGTCAAATCAGCCGAACTGCAAACTCAAGGAATAACGTCATGGATTAGTGGCGCAGCACAGAAACCAACATGAAACGTATTAACATCATTGAAACGTTTTCTTTTCTCCAATATTTGGGTCCAGTCTGTTAGTTTGGCGACTTTTGGGATAAGAGAGAACAGGTAGAATCTGAGCTTTCCGAATTTGGTCAATTTAGATCAGTTCACCAGTTTGATTTGGCATAAGGACAAAAACATCGTAGGAAGACATCTTGCAAAGAATCATGACAACCTGTCTATCACTTGGACCGATTCCCAGTATCCATAATTGCTCAGTGCCCCAGGGTGTGAGCAGTCCTGGGTCCTAATTTGCGGTGGTGAAAAAATCCCTTCTATTTGGATACTTTTAACACAATATTCAATTGGACCTGCGGTATTACTTCATATCACTTTTCATACTAGATACGTTCCAATTTGCTTGCTGAAACGGAGGGCTAGAGGCGGACGGATACATAACAGAACAATTACATTGGTGAGGACTAAAATCCTATCATTTATACAGTGTGAAGAAGTGATTAGAGTCATTTCGAGGAGCAGTGATGCGTTTGGCTAGTTGGTCGGTACAGTAGTAATCTTTGCGGTTTTCTGTAAGGCCATACCTACCTAATTTTATGGATGACATCCACTGAAGAACTAATTAAAGTCCCGATGTTGTTTCTCTCTGTGTCAATATGTGTGTGTGTGTGTCTGTGTGCGTGTGTGTCCGTGTGTGTGTGCTGTTTGTGTGTGTGTGCTGTGTGTGTGTCTGTGTGTGTGTGCTGTTTGTGTGTGTGTGTGTGTGTGTTTGTGTGTGTGTGCTGTGTGTGTGTCTGTGTGTGCTGTTTGTGTGTGTGTGTGTGTGTGTGTGTCTGTGTGGAAATTAGCTGGACCCTCCTAGCTTTCCAGTGCAACAGGAGTTTTGCCTTTGCCATACACATTTAAGTACATTTATCAGGCCTTCGCCACTTTTACCACTAGTTTTAGCATTCTTTAAGAACTTATATCCCCTTTCGTTGGCCCATAGTTCCCAATAAATTCTCGTATTGGTGACAAAATTCTATGTTTTCAATGCACTTGCAAATCTATGAATCCAAAATAGCTCCGATATAAGGAAAAATTGCATGTGAATATTGGATTGTTTGAAAGCATGGTATTTCCTCCAATATAACAAAAAGCATGTAGAAAACTGTTCCCCCCTCCCACACTGAGAGCTAATTGTTTTAAAGAAATGAAACGGATGAAGGCAATACGCTAAAATACTCCAAAGAATATAGAAACTGATTGGCAAGCATTGCCGGTAAGCCATAAACTCGGCCTTGCACGAAACTGGTGTACGTCTTTGAGAGAGAGGGGAACAAGCTAAGTCCAACTGGCTAAGTCAAGAAAAACAAATGAAAGGAGATCGCATGACTTTAATGTTTTTGTCCAAAAGCAAGCGTTGATTTTTTTTCTTGTTTGTATCTTGTTGTGTCCTGTTGACCTGGTGTGATGGTGGCGTCCGAAACAACGCCCCCTTTTCTGTCAATCGGATCATGATGAACGACTAGCCTGAAGACGTCAAATGGAGAAGAGAAGGGAAGAAGCGACTTTTGTCCGATAGCAATTTTTCACCTCTCATTATTTGCAGCTGCCTATTGTTCAGGTGTGATGGCATGTAGCGTCCGAAACAAAGCCCCCTTTTCTGTCAATTGGATCAAGATGGACGACTGAAGACTGCTGTGCCTGTTGTTCAGGTGTGATGGCTAATCTCCAAGCAGACGTTTTGTGGGGCACCAACGCGTTTCCGTGGCCCAGATGGACTGAAATACGTATATATATACAGCACAGGTCTTTTCTGACACACTTCATACTTCCTTTCTAATGATTCTTGCAGTAATGTAGAGGCGAACTAATCGAAACCGATCCGTAAAATACCCGGGCCCCGGCGCGTCCGTATGTACCTGGGCGGGCGGATAGTGCTCTCAGCACCGTGGGGATGCCTGGCCGGAGCCTACCGTGGTCTGAATGTAGTGGGCTTGTTAGATAATGAAATGAAATACCTTTATTGTACATCCATGTCACGACGGGCTAGGTACAGGTCAAGACTTAACAGACACATAACAAACGTATGTAGAAAAGACAGAAGATACACTACTTGACTTAGACATACATACATAAGGAACATACAAAGGTACTATACTAGGCTAATACAAAGTGTTCTAGTTACTGAGCTAATACAGAGTGGTCAACTTCTCGCTTTTTTACTCAGTATGATTATCTGTTTAACAGCCGGCCGAACCACAATTATCCATTGATTGTCTTTCCCGTAGTGTTTTAAGGTATACTGCTTTCTAATACCCTTCTAATTGTTGATATCTTGTATCGCGTGAAGATAATTATCTGGCAGTATTACGTTCTACATCCGGGATATTACCTATATGCTGATTACCGCCGTGTTAAAAGCTACATCTTGCGATCTTTAAGTAAATAGCATATTGCTATGTTAAATCAACATAATGTGCGTATAATTAAATAAAGCTATTGTTTGATTAAGACAATTTGAGGCTTTTGTTGGCAGATTTGCTACCATATAAGAATAATGTAACTATGATCTTGAAGTATAGCACCGCAATAGAAAGTGTATAAACGTAGTACACAGCAGGTTGACATATCAACAGTGACATCTAGCGACATGTAGCGAAAATGGTAAGAAAAAAGACATCAGTAGTGCTCACATTTTAAACGCTTCTTTTTTAAGTCTTCCATAATCTTGTGCTTGCAAACCCTTAGAAGTACGCCACAAGGTGTAGTATGGCAGGACGAAAAAGACCTAGGACGTCAGTCTAAGTACTAGTAGACACAATTGCTACAATTCTTGACAGTCTTATTTTCTTCCCATTGTTCTAGCTACACTTTTTCCAACCCTGCCAAAACGAATCCACAACAAAGTAAATGTATTTTTTCAATGCAGGTGGCATCTTGGTTTCTGCAACTGGAACTACACTCCCACCTATCGCGGGTTTGACTCTTTCTATGGCTTCTACAATGGGCAGGATGATATGACTACTACAAGCATACTGTTCGTAAGTGCCACTTCGACCTAGAAAACATGTTGTTCTTCCGTTTTCCCCGACCGATCCTAACAAAAACCGCGCCGACCAGAGACGTTTTTATCGACTGCTGGTTACGCTATAAGATTTTCGATCTGATATGTGAATTTTAAACCCCATAAATTATAAAAAAACGCAATTCGACGTACTTTCAGAGGCATTTTTTTTTCTTAAAAAAAGTGAAACGAATTGTGAAATATTGTCATGACACATTGTTCTCTATTTGTTGGACCATCTTTGGCGAAATTCAAAATACTTATAAAAAGAAAATCCCGTACGTAAAGACCCTATCTTTTTTAGGAATGAAACCGGTAACGCAACATCAATCTTCCTAGGCTACACTTACATACATACATACATACATATACACTTACTAAGTAAACACGTAACGATAACCAAAATTTTGAAATATCATATTTCAAACTTCATAATATACAGGATAGGATGAAAAAAGTAAATATATATGGCAAACTTAGCTAATGAGCCAAGTCACAGTATGATGCTCTGTGGGTAACTGTAAAGCTTATTTAAGGCCTTAAATTCGCCACATTGTACATGCGTACTTTATTTGCGAAGCCTGCCGATTCCTGTAAATTTTAATAGCAGCTTTACCGCTGTAATTATAATAACTGGATGTGTAAAAAGAGAACAGTCTCTTTATCAGGGGTGCCAAAATATACAGTGACATTTTACGGAATACAGTGCAATCATATTTAGTGTAATTATATTTCAGTCCATACCATGGTATATATAGAATACAACACGGGGTATTCCGTATCGCCCGAGGTATCGGCCCGACCGCGGGTCGGATCGCCCGACGGCCGCAGGCCGGAGGACGATCCGACTCGCGGGAGGGCCGGGACCGAGGGCCGCGGATGCGGAATACACCGTGTTGTATTTTATTTATGTCATACCCACCCAAGAAAACACGCCCTTCAATGTAAGATGAGCCAAAAGTTGGTGCCACTGAACCCTAAAATGCAACAACATCAATTCCAACGTCCGGATTCTGTATTCGAATTTTCGAAAGGGGCGCACGCGGCTAGGGCGACACGCGTTCGAATCGTTTTATGGAAGCCATGGAAGCGTTCGATAACGGGTTCCGGACCGGGCCGTACCGTAAAGTACGGCCCGGTCTGGAACCCGTTATCGAACGTTATCGCGGCCCGGGTATGATATAAGGATGAAATATATTGTGTTCTCTCATGTTTCTCCTCCTCCTCCAAACAGTCAAAGGGATTCAACTCTGCCATCATTCAGCCAAATTGACTTGAAATTTGGCATGGAGGTTGAGTGGGCCAATACCCCCAGGTCGTTTTTTTTTTCATTTTTTTTGATACATGCCTTTGAAAAAATTTTAAAGAAGGTTGCATTTGTTGATGATTATTACATAAATCATATCAAATATAATATTTTCTTCTGTTTCTCATGGGTGCTTTTTGGTGCATTTGGGGTTTTCTGATGCACAAGATGTATAATATCACCAATCAACAGAGTTTGTAGAAAAGCACTTTAGTTTGGTGAAGTTTGAGCACCATTTTTGAAGCAAATATTTGCATAAATGTTTAAGACACAATGTAAGAAGTTGTACATAAGTTACAAAAGTCAGATAGCCTCATACACTACTTGAGTCCTTTGATAATTCAAAGAACCAAAAATTACTGGTCAAATTGTTGCCATTGCTGCACTTTTAAAGGAAACATGACAGGACTACATGTATATGCCTGGTGCTGACAGTCAGCCATCTGGGACACGTGTTGTGGGATGTGTATTGCAAAGGATGATGGGATAGTATCATTTCCCCCCCTGACAGCACCGTAAGTAACGTCTGTTTGTCACCATCGTCCTCCTTCCTAAATAGTATTGCTTTTTTTAGAGGGAGGCCTACGATGCACTATTGGGAGATTAGAAATAATTCATTTTGAGCATGTAATGGTGATCATGATGATATGATGACCACATAGTATAACTTCAACTTTTCGATTTTTTTTTTAGTTTAAACTGCTCAAAACTTTCCTCTTTATTTTCACTTAAACAGTATAAGAAGAACCCGATGCCGCGTATTATATTTAGGTGTTGCAACGAATCGAATGTGAATGAACATGATACAAGAACATGAATACAAGATACTGTCTAGAGAGATGTCTACAGTCAGCGTGCATGTATCAGCACCTGAGTGATGCAAGCGGGTGATTATTAATGTGAATAAATGACCACTTGGATATTTCATATCCTGTCTTTCGCTGCTTACTTGATGTTTTGCTTAATGATTTGAATCTTAGTTTCTCACTGAAATGTGTTGTCTATTTTACAGTATTTCTTTACAGAACGTATTGTTGACATTATTGAGAAGAATCCCCTGAGCTTGCCACTTTTCCTGTACCTGCCCTTTCAAAATGTGCACGAGCCTTTACAGGTAAGTACCATTGTTAATACCAGCCATTTTCGTCAACATTTTTACGTCTGACATCTCTGTCTAGCCCTTAGTGTTTGCTTAGCAACTTAAATCCACTTTAAATCTCTTTTCACCTTCTTTTGCAGGTTCTGAAACGGTTTGAAGACATGTACTCCAACATTCAAAATGAAAGCAGGAGAATTTTTCTAGGTATGTCTGTATCTAAAAATCCCTGTTTACATTACGAACATGTACATATTACCATATTTACGTATATAGCTAAAAGGTCATCGCAGTTGAAAAATGCTCGAAAAGATGATTTCCCTTCAGACTGATTTCCCTGATTAGTACAATCGCCAAGCTGTTTCACTCCATCATAGGGGGGCGTATCATTGACTACCTGGTCAAAAACGGCTTTGTTGACAGCGAAGTACAGAAGGGGTTTCTCACGGGCGTGTCGGGCTGTGTCGAACATTCCTTTGTTTTAAACGAACTCATCAAAGACGCAAGGTCATCATAAAAAACAGTACATGTGGCGTGGCTTGATCTGCAAAATGCATTCGGGTCCGTCCCCCATTACCTCATCCAGCTGTCACTGCAGAGATACCAAATACCACAACAGATATGTGATTACGTGAAGGTATTCTACAGTAACCTCACCGCCCAGGTGAGATGTCCAGGCTTCTCGTCAGACCCGTTCCAGCTGAAGGTCGGCACATTCCAAGGTGACACGCTGTCAGTGGCGATCTTCTTACCTGTTATTAACCTGCCCCTGGAATACCTGCGTACCGAAGAAGCCCATGGCTACGTAATGAAAAACAAAACACATGCGACTTTTGCGTTCGCTGACGATCTGGCACTAACCATATGCAGATCAAGGTCCATGCAACGGATCCTCAATACACTGGATCGGCATCTTAGAAGTATCCATCTTACCCTAAAACCCAAGAAGTGCAAAAGTCTTAGCATATGTGGGGGGTCTGCAAAGAATGTGGTCTTTACAATCGGGAATCACCCAATGGATAACATCATGACAACTCCATTCAAGTTTCTGGGTGGATTCATCACCGCTAGTGGCTCCTCAGGTCAGGTCTCTAACATCCTGAGGGAGTCCATTATAGGAACGGAAGAAAACAAGGGTATCATTATGAACATAGACGCGTCTCCCATCCGAGGTGAATACAAATGTGAGATCTACAGAGTTTATGTGCAAGGCGCTATCAGATATCTTCTCACAGTACATGACATCTCACGGACACACCTCCTCGAACTAAACCGTAGTGTTACCCAGTACCTGAAGAAGTGGGCTAACATGATGCGATCAGCTAATCCTGGGATATTGTACCACAACCAAGGCCTAGGCCTCACCTCAGTGGAACAGTTATACCTACAGCAACACGCCAGCGTTATCGCCTCAGCGATGACAGTAGGTGACCACAGAGTCAAAAATGCACTTGAGGCTAAAGTACAGAGAGAAACAGCGCTTAAGTCAAAAACTACAGGTACAGTGGCCTGCCACGCCCTTGTGGAAGATGCCTTGACCGCAACCATGGGCGCGGAGCCTCATGAAACCCAGACAAACCCCCAGCATATAAAGGAAAGGGTGTGTCAAAAAGTAAAGTCTCATCTACGCAAAGAGGAGGACATGAAAATAGAAGAAAAATGCAGGTCACTCCAAGTACAGGGGAACTGGGCAGAACTAGTCGAACAAGAACAGTCTAACCTGGCGTGGAAAAGTGCTTTGTGCAACACTCCCCGGGGGGTATTTGAATTCGCCCTAAATGGCATGTTAAACTGGCTGCCAACAGGTGATAACCTGGTCCGCTGGGGGAAAGTACTCTCACCGAAGTGCCCACTCTGCAAGGGACGGCAGACTTTGCGTCACGTCCTTAACATGTGCCCGGTAGCACTCAAGGACAGGTTTACCTGGCGACACAACAGTGTCCTCATGGAACTAGTCAGCACCCTCAAGCTATGGTATGCAGAATCTAACCCAGAGGTCACAATCAGGTGTGACCTGAACCCAGACTACCTGGAAGGAGGCACACACACTACAATCCCTCCGGACATACTGCCGACTTCGCTGGTACCTGATATCACACTTCAGGATCCTGTACAACGGAAGCTGACCTTGATCGAACTTACCGTTCCGTATGAACAGAATGCACAGCACGCTGAGGACAGAAAGTCTGCCAAGTACGAAGGACTGATTAATGACATAAACGTACATAGTGGGTACAGAGCTACACTCGTTACAGTTGAAGTCGGAAGTAGAGGATGGATTAACAGTGAGAACACTGCGAAACTGAAGTCACTCTGCCTAGTCAGTCATAAGGACCGTGAAGTCAGACACCTTAAAAGTAGACTGGGGAAGTGCGCACTTTGTGCATCTTATGCCATATACTGCGCTAGAAACACACAGGGTTGGGAAAGTACCTCAGGGCTATTCTTTTGTAAAAGATAAATTTGATGCAACAGGCTTGATTCTTTTCTTTTAACCTTTAAGTTCTAGAAAAAATTGTTTGTAAGTATACGTATGAATGAAATGTATGTGTAGAAAACAATTTTAATCGAAAAGTTTAATGTCCGATGCACACTTGTTACATTTTACTTACCTTGCGCCCTCCTCTTAATTATAATGAGATAAAGGGCTGGCCTAGGTGTACTTCAACGAGTCATCTTGTATATATTTGTATATTGAAATAAAGATGATTTTAACCCCCGGATAGGAATGTCTTAACTCTTGTCATGACTTTTGTTCCTCCAGTGGCATAGTTACTTCTGCATTCGTTGCGTTTCGCTGCGGTGTGATGCGTTGCACTAGAAATAGCCCCCAAATCGTACCTATACAGCACGTCGGCAGAACATACTGCGCCTGCGCAGAACCCTGGATTTTCGTTGGATTTTTGGTCAACGCTGCATCAGAATTTTGCCTGTTGCAGACGATATTTTTCCGACATTTGAAAACTAATGTCGGAATGTTAAGCTTATATGAGCAAATACAACCTTATATGAGACGTTCTTCTGAAGTCCTATGCACAATGCATTACGGGTTTTGCGCAGCCGCAGTACCTTCTGCCGACGTGCTTACCTATACAGGGTGCTATATATGTCTGATACTGCATGTATCTGTATCGGTATAGCTGGTATAACCGCCCTTCGGCGTAACACACCACCATGTGCATCACAGCTAATTGTTGGGCGCCGCAGGACTAGTTAATTGCCCTTTCGTTTTAAAATGTGTCCACAGGTATGGTCAGCGCCATGGACGAAGGCATCGGTAACGTTACCATGGCAATGAAAAGGGCGGGGCTGTGGGACAACACCCTCCTCATCTTCACAGCTGACGTAAGGCGGTTTCATGCATTCATGAATTTCACACTTCCCATAATGCCTGGTAAAGATATACGTAATGCGACCGTGGGAGTAGGAGAGTCTTCGGTAGAAGGTAGAACGATAGAAGTAAGTCATTTTCTCTTAACAAAAAGGCAGTTATGGCATGCGCTTTTTACTTAATAATTCAAAACAGTATAGTTGACCAGTTTGTCGATAGAACTTGTTGGAAATATTACATCGAGGAAGGGGGAGGGGGGTGGTCATACGTCATCCGTGATCCTTTTTACTAGGCATCATGGGAAGTGCATGAATATCAGTTTCATTACATACTAGTATTCGAAATGGCCGGCGATTGTGTAGTACTTAGTGCGACAGCACGAACTTAATTTTTGGCCTCTGAAATGAAATAGTCGTGACATACCTCAACCCAAACAGAAAGTCATCCATACATTTTGATAACATTTATTTTATAACTTTGCTTCTTTTTAAGATGACTTTTGTTTTAAATGTTTGTTCCCAACAGAATGGTGGTTGGCCACTTTTCAGTGGAAATAACTTCTCTCTCCGTGGTGGGAAAATCACCCTGTGGGAGGGGGGCACCAGGGCGGCAGCCTTCGTACATGGCAGCATGCTGCAGAAAACAGGCTACACCAGCAACAAGTGAGTTCATATTCATAGTAGTAGTAGTATTTGGAATTCAAGTATTATTAAAATACCATTCGACATAACTCTTTTAAAGCAATTTTCAAAGGCACAGTAGTAGTTCTGGAGAGAAGACTATCAGAGGAGAACTTTTGTTGCAATTCATGGAGATGATTAAAACATCTTTCTTTTTGTCTAAATTTTTATTATGAATTAGTATACTTCTCAGGGGAACGTGACCAATATTTCGCAGCAATATTTGTTTCTATAAATTATAGGATGATCCATGCAGTGGACTGGTTCCCAACGATCCTTGCGGCCGCCGGCGGAACTGCAGGTACCACATTCAGGGTTTACAGCGCAGTCGCTTTAAATATCTAAATCTTTCATTCTTAGATCATTCTCTTTCCCTAGTTTTCAATTATGGCTATTTCAGATCTGACGTGATACTTTGTCCCTTAAAGATGATGAAAGCAAATTTACACAAGGTTCGCATAATATTCTGCTAAAATATGCAATGTTACAATATCATTACTCTGGCTACAAATTATGGCAGAACTGTCTATTGATTTTGAAAATACCAATCTTCCGTTTCTGTTTGTCTGTTTGAAGACTCCGGTATAGATGGCGTAAGTCAGCTGGACACCCTCGTGTCAGGAAAGCCCTCCCCAAGTACGGAGTTCGTCTACAACATTGACGACACCTTCCCTACAAAACAGGGAGCTATCAGGTTTGACTAATTTGCTTTATGATAAGCTTGCATAGTCTGGAGTTGTAGATCAGATTCCAATATCAGATTTGGTGGACGCCCTGTTAAATTGAGCTGTTTCCCTGAATGTTCTAAGGAGCATCACAAATTGAGATAACATTCCCAGATTAACACTTTGCCATCGATTATCAA